TTAGAGGTGTAATTTTTCACAGCTGCTGTGAATGGCTGAAAAAGTGTGTAAACAGACACCAACAAAATTTTGAGCTTTTTCCTATTCTTTTGATAAAGAGGGTGCATCTTGCTCACCTTAAAAACAGGTTTTTCTGTAGATTTTGGACTACTTAATCCCCTGAATTGTTTGCTGCATAGATCTGAGAGCAAATAAAAAATATGTGCCATCTAAATTCTCCCTGGAAGTACAGGTAGCCTATCCTTTCCCATCCCATTGAATCACATATCTGCAGTATTGAAGTCTCTTTCAATAGACTGATACCATGTTTCTCCCTGCCTGGCCTACTAACCACCCCCTTTGGACTGTTGGCTTTTTTATTTTCCACAGGTAAAACCTGCTATCTCAAATCTGAGCATGGAAGAGGCACTCCAGTCCATGTGCCTGTAGATCTTTTTAACTTAGTCTTATGTTTGTTGACACAAAAATATATTTGCATTTATGCTGACCGAAGGTGGAGCTCCTTCTTGCAGGTCACTATGTTTTGCTGCCGTGGGAATTTCCAGAAAGAAAGAGATAACAATAAGGAAAGGCTGTGTGTGGATGTGGAGTCTGAACCATTGCACAGTGAGAACCTGAGGGCTGAAACCATCTGTGCTCTGGTGGGAAGGATATATCAGTGCAACACTCCATCCATACCTGACAGCATTGCATGTTGCACCAAGGGACAGAAATAGAAGCACTTTCCCAGCCTCCTTTCTCTTCTTCCTCTGTGCACACCTATAGCCTTGATCACAGCAACCACTCCAGACTGGGAGACAAGGTGATTAGTAGGCCTTCAAAATCTTGTCTTTGAGAAGAAAACAGTTTGAAAAGAATTATTAAAAACTCAGCGTAGTTTCCCACAGCTAAGGGCCCTCTGCATTGGTTCTGTTCCCTTTAAAGCCTGGAATGCTTATGCTGGTTAGTTTAGGGAGAGAGTATGGGACTTTTTTCAGTAAACAACCTCAAATTTCCCGAAATTGGAAACACATTTAAGTTTTGGAAAACAATTGTTTGGCAGTTGCTTTTACAAGAAAGCCATGCTGCAAACACAGCTCTAGACTGCTGCAAAGACCTTTCAGGTTGGATTGCACTGAGCAATGCAGGACCAGCATCAATATTTGAGCATGCAAATCCAGGGCTTTGCCGTGGTTTACGTGTAAACGTGATGCTTGGTTCACACTCCAGTCAGTTTCTCTCCCCCAAGGAAATCTGTGAATAATTCCAGTGAGGTTTTGTACTTTCAGAGAGTCCAAGACAGATGATTTTTTCAGATACAGATCCATTACTAGTTCAAAAAGGGTTGCATGGATTTGGGCCGGTAAGAGAGAAAGCTTAATATTTGTGCATGGAAGCAAGTGTAAGTGAAACTGAAGGGACTGCTGAGGCCACTGAGGTAAAGCCACATCAGAGTTATTAATTCCTTCCAATGATATTGAGAGGCAACAGATGACAATTAAGTGTTCTGTCATCACAAATTGCTTCAAAATTAATTTAGAGATAGCATTACCCAAAGAGATGCTAGTTTTTCATTTAATCCAGATAAGACACTAGATCAACCAAGTCACTAAATCCATTATTGATACAGATTATTTTTCATAATAATAAATCACAAAAAAACATAAGAAATCATAGTTATAGACCAGAGCTGTGTAGGTTTTCCCCTGTGAAGTGCTTGCACTTGATCCACATGAGGGAGGAGGAAGCCTTTTCCAGCCTTTTCCAGCACTGAATACTGACTCAGCAGGGCTCTGGGCATCATATGCTCACTCCAGAGCACCTGAGGAGCCCACTTTACAGCAGCACTGAAAACACATTTAAGTTTGGAAACACATTTGTACCACCAGGTACAAACTTGTCCTTTTGCAGTGTCATACTTTTATCTCAAAATTGCCAAACTGGCAATTGTCTGTCTTTGAAAGATTCAATCTAAATTTCAAGAGAAGAATAGGACTAAATTGCCAGTGAGAATTTGGGAACTCCTGCAATTAACAAGAACAGACAAAGAGTTCAATATTTAATGTGTGCCTAAGAATTAAGATAGAGAAATGCATAAAATCTTCTTTCTTTAAGTTTTATTAAATTTTGAAGATATAAAGTGGACAATAGCAGCACCAAAAACATTAATTAAATAGCTTCAAAGGTCTCTGTAAATGACCACAGTTCAGCTTTCAGCAGATTGGATAGGAATTCTGTGTGGAACACCACGTCACATTATAAAGAGGAAGGAAGCTAGGAGAATTATGGAACAGAAGAGAGAAAGTTGGGTTTGGTTTTCTTACATAAACCCTTACGAGTGTAAGGGTTACCCTTCCTTTTGTCTGGTAAAGATTTGTGGTAAAGACCATGGGGAAATGCAAATATAGGAAGTAGCATTGTAAAATCCTGTTTTCAAATCTCACCACTATCAATACACAGAATTTACTGTTCTCTCACTCTCAGTGGCACAGTATATGCTGAGCTTTCAATGAAAACAGGAAAAAAACCAACCCTTATTTGCTTTATCTCCAGTATATGTTTTCAATGAATTGCAAAGACCTGAAGTTATGTGTTTGTTTGGGTCTCCTGCTCATGAATTTTTCTCACATGCACAACTAAACTTAGACTAAAGTAAACTGCTACAGAAAGCACTTCCAAGTACACACAACATGCAAATGGATTTAATCCCTCAGAGTTTTGAACCTAATTTACCTTCAAAAGCATTGCAAACATAAGGAACATGTATGCTAGGATTATGCCATGAGGATGAAATACAGAAATTTCTAGTATGGATTCAAAAAAGCCATTCCAGGCATGTATTAGTCAAATACTCATTAAAAACTTTTTTTTTTTATTTTGGAGTATTCCAAGTTCTTGCAATAATGAGCCTTTAAACTGAGGTTCCAGGTCTGATTGGCTATAGATTAGGTACTGATATAACCTGATATAACCTGAGGGAAATTCCATAGTTGAGGAAATACATTCTTGGTGTGTGTCTGAAGTGATGCAAATGTTGAGGATGTAAGGAGTAGGCAGGATCACTGTGCAGCACATTGCCTCCTTCCTTTGCCAGTTTGATCATCCTCAGTAGCTGTCAGGCTACACTGTCAGGGCCAAATCAGACAATCATCTCACTTGACTTAACACCAAGCACAGTTTTGCCTGCAGCTGACTTGAATTCCCTAGTTCTAGTATTATATAAAGTACTACATCAATTCTTAAGCTTCATATGAAAAGCAGAATAATCCCCTTGAGTTTAGCTACAACCTTTCTTGTGGATTTTGCTCACAGGATTCCTACAGCAACATGAGCAAGTACCAGTTAGCCTTACCCTTGCTTACTCAGAGAGCCAATAGTACATGACTGTTATAGTGTACAGTTACAAAATACAGTGTAAGGAATAACTCATTGAAACCACAGATTATCCTTGCCAGATGCTCAGAATTTGCCAAGCTGAATTAAGTGGGATTTCTAGAACAGAAAGGATAACTCTGGGACATCTCAAAATGGCTAAACAGCTCAAAGAAATCAGAAAATGTTTTTTTTTTCCTCCTGCATTCAGCAGAAAAGAAAGAATAATTCCCCCTCTTTCTAGAACACACGAAAATACCTATGATTACAAGCATCAGAGATACTGGGGATTCTTCCTCACAGCTCAGTAGATGAATGACAGATTCCAGTACTATTTTATGCCTCAAGCTTTGCTCTCAGTATGCACCATGCTCTGAACAAGGAAGAGAAGGGTTGCTCTTCTGTGATATCCAGAGAGCAGAGACAGCATTTGAATACTAAGATTGCAGCATTTCATATGTTTATGAAGAGGTTTATGAACATTATTTCCTGTTATCAAAAAGACCCAGTGTCTCAAAGTGCTGCTCCCTTTATAAATTCACATTGCTGGAAATACTAAGAGCTCTCTTTTCTACTGGACAAACAGCCTCTGTAAGGTCACACAACCCTCTAGACATAACATAAGGACAAAGACATTTTTGGATGATGATGATGTTTAAGTGTTCTTTCCACACTTTCTACATTATTTGTGCTTTCTCTGTTTCCATCATCATCCTGGAAAGTTTATTAGTAATACAGGATAGGATGATAACAAGCTTTAAAATGTTTTGTAGGAGACATTAGACACCCGTGTGGATCTCTGCTGAATGGGACATCAAAGACTTGCCTATCTCTTCATGCCTAATTTTTTCAGTGTTACTTCTGTGAGATACATTTTGATCTTGTGTATGTAAATGTTCAAGCAATGCGTACCCATTTTGTTCTGTCTTAGGATCCTGAAAGGTCTGTTTCTATTCCCCTGAAATCTGCTTGAAAGAACTATCTGCTATGTAGAAACCCTGCTTATATTCCTTGACAGGATTTTGCATGCAAGTAACAATTGATACGATTCTGAAGGACCAATGCTCCCATTTAAAGGGCTGCTTAATAAAAATTATTCAAGCATCACAGAAACATAATAATAACATTTCACTGACTTTTTAAACTGCATTCTTTAATATTATGTTTCTACAAAATTGAAAAATATTTTAAAATAGCATATGACTCTGGAGTAAAAGTAAACTACTCACTTTTGAAATAATATTACAAAACTCTGCAACTCTGAAATTAAAATGGATGTCAGTCTCTTTTCCCATTTAAGAAGGGAAAAAACAAGAGGAAATGGCCTCAAGTTATAGCAGGGCAGGTTTAGATTGGATATTAAGAAAAAATTCTTCACTGGGGGTTGTCAAGCACAGGATAAGGCTGCCCATGGAAGTGGCTGACTCACCATCCCAGGAGGTATTTAAAAGATGTGTAAATGTGGCACTCAGGGACAGGGTTTAGTGGTGGACTTGGCAGTGTTAGGGTAATGGTTGGACTCTATCTTAGAGGTCTTTTCCAACCTAAACAATTCTATGATTTTATAATTCAAATAAATGACACCTATGCAAAAGGAACCATACCTGTTCCTAATATGGACAGAGGAATTAATAAAATGAAACATAACATGATTTTAAAAGAATGAGCATATTTATTCTCTATTAGAAAGAGACAGTACATCAAGGTAAAAAATATAAATATCAAAATCATTTAACAGTTAGCCAACCACCCTGACTTGACAGCAATATTTTGCAAAATCATTGCATAACAATTTTTTCTGGCAGATTAAACTCCACAAAATCCATGATGTGTACTTTTTCTGTTTACATCATAAATCATCCTACAACAGTAAGATAATGTTCTGGCGTATGTATAAAACATCATACAGTAACATGATAGATGCTTTATGAAAGCTGAAAAGAAGGAAAGGAGAAAGAATGTCTCTTAATGCTTCCCTTAAACCTTAGACTCAAATTTAAGCAACAGATAGTCACTTTTCCATTTGCAGTCATTTAACACAGGCAGTTCCAAGTACACACACAAATACACAAATATATTAAAAGGATTTGTTATAAATAGCTATTGCTTTTGTAGGCAGCTTCAAATATACAATCTTCTTTATCTCTTTAAAAAAATAATGTCCCATTTTTTTAGTCTATTAAAAATAAGAGTTCATCCACAGGTAAATATTCTTAATTAGAATGTGACTCCGTGAATGTCCCAAAGAGTTTGTCCCAGTGTGTGAAGTAAGGAGCATAGTTTGATTTGAATTTCAGATGGTGGAGATCATGATGTGGTGCTCCTCCATACAATCCAAAAGGCACAAGTCGGTGAGTTGACCATGGGAGGTCATATCCAGAATGGTCCTCCACTGACAAACCAATGTTTACAAGGAAGAAAATCATTTCCGTCAAAGGATGGCATCCCAGGAGCAGTGGGTTTATAGCAGCAAAAAATCCCAGTGACAGCAACTCCCACACGCTGGAATACTGAGTAGTAAGTGCAAACGTCGACACGTGCTTGTGATGCACCTTGTGGAAGGTCTTGTAGAGCCAAGGCACCCTGTGATGAAGCAAATGCCACAGGAAGTACTCGAAATCAAATAGCAGCAGACAAACTGCTACTTGCAGCAGGACTTCAGGCAGCTCTGGAGCTACCACTGGTAGATCCATGGGTCTCCAGTACCAGTGCAGAAATGTCACCGGGAAGATCAAAACAACATGGTGATACACACTTTGAATAATGCAAGGCACCATCATTCCAAGACTTGGATAGGTCTGTGGCTGGATTTTGTATTTTCTCAAGTCTGGTAGTCTAATGCTTAAAAAGTCCAGCGCAACATATGGAAGACAGAAAGCCATGTATGCTGTAAAAGAAAACAGCACTGGAAAAAATGGTGACCTGATCAACGGCTCCTTTGCGGTGACGAAGTCCCAGAGAGGCTGCAGGCACAACCTGTCCTGCTGCCCCTCCATCGGAGAGCCGAGCAGCACCCGGTGTGGCAGGCTGCAGTTCATGCTGCTTGCAGGCTGAGGCAGCTGGAAATCCTGCAGGCTTTTATGCAGCCTGCTCCAGCAGACTCCACCCCCAGACATTCTTACAGAGGAATGACAGTCGTTAAAGGGGAAGCTCTTTTTCCTGTCGTACAGAATGCAATATAATGCATTACCATCTCAGAACAGAATTAGCTGGCCAAGGTTATCAGTAGAGCTCTACCAGAGACCTGCACAGTAGAAAAACAAGCAGAAGTGCAGAACTCTAATGCTGGAATTCAGAGAAAGTGTTGGAGCATCTTCTATTCCACTTACTGCAGACACTTCAAAAGTTGCTGTTTCTTATTAATTTTGAATCGTGCCATCCTTTTTTATCCTTTTGTCTTTATAGACAAGGCAATAAAAATTACCACTGATTTATTTATTTTATGTGCCTGCTACTTAAACTCCAGGTCTGACCTGTGGATATCTGGTGGGTAATGGTTGTGTGCAAACACACATTTCCTTAATGATCCCTTGGTTATAAAATAGCCTTAGTTAAAACCTTAAGGAGACCTACAACACACTTCTAGTCTGGATGTGGTGGCTGTGTCCTATCTCCATCTAACTTGACATTTGAAGTCATGTTCTCCTTTACATACCTGTATCCACTAGACATGGAAAAATTCACCTGACATGACTAGATGCAAAATTGAGCCAACCACTTTTGAAGAACATGAGGCCCCCCCGGTGCAGAGAAGAATACAGGGTAAAATCTCATTATGCTTCCTCACAGATGCTTAGCTACAGTATTATCACATTATTACAATATTCACTCCATATCTCAGCAGCTCTATTAGCAAGTTGATATGAAAATCCCCCTTTACCCATATATCAAACTAATATATGCACTTAAAAGATCCACCATTAGTCCTATGTCCTTTAAAGGATCTTCCTCTGACCACAGCCAAGCACACCACAGGCAGAAGCCAGCAGGCTTGACTCCAACATTACTAATTTGCTAAAAGCTTTTAGAGGTCAATGATGGAAGTTTTGATTTAATCACTAAGACATTACTCCTTTTGTGCTTTTAGAAAAAGAAAAACAAAGCTTTGAACATTTAGGGAAACAAAGCTTGCCCTAAGCTTCCTATGAACTCACCTCTTTTGTCAGTAAAGCATTTATTCTAATATTGGAAATGAGGTCAACTTCCTGGATGACTTTATTAGCTTGTTCAGATGATTTTATTTCTTTGCCAATCAGAAAATAAATCTGATGGGGCAAATGTGAGACTGCATTTCCTTGCTTCTGAATAATTAAGAACGATTCATTAGCAGTGACCTTTTCTGAATATGCATGAATTTGTAACATTTAAGTTTGCTTTCTGTTTCAACTGTTTTCTTTTCAATAGATTCTGTTCCCTCCTTAGGCTTCAAGAATTTCACTTAAGCAGTAACATTATCTGTGCTATTATTATCAGTAGGTCCTTGTTGGAGACAGGCTTCTACCTGTTCCATATATATTTTGGAATTCAGATTCCTTGCTGTTATGAGACTGTTTTGTTGAATTAATTTATTTAAACCATTAACTGTTGTGAATTGAAACCTGGTGCAAGACACTAATCTAACAGGTGAAGATCTATATCCAAGAGCTTTGTTTTAATCTTCTGACTGCATTTTATCCTAACCTCTATTTCACAATAAGGCATTTATAACACCAGCTGGGTCCAAAAATATTATTGTGATTTCTGTTGATTTATACAGTCACAATCAGAAATTAAGTCTCCCAGATGGGATAAGTGATCCTCTCTATTATTAGAATTATGCAGGGAATCAATCTATTTTATAATGTGTTCCAAATCTCATATTCTAAATTTTATAGTATTCCAAATCTCACTAAAGGGAGATTGACATAAATTGCTCAACTGCCTTAAAGACACTCCTCTGACTAATCCCTACAGATACGTGAAGTCTCAATAAGTTTTAGGGCCATTACTGCCCACAAGCTATATTTTAAAGAATAGGCATTCTGCCTGCAGATTAGGTCATAGAAAAATATCCATAAATCCCTCCAGGAAAACTAACGGCATTCTGCAGCGCTGTTTCTGGGATATCCCGCAGCACAAAGCCCGCGCAAGGCGCCGGCGAGCAGCGCTTACCTGGGAGGCTGGCGCCGCCCCGAGCCCGGCGCCGCGGGCAGGGCTCCGCCGAGCCCCGAGGGACAATCGGCCCTCGCACTCCGAGAGGACAGAGCAGAACCCTGCAGAACCCGAGCCCTCTGCCTTAGCCACCACACAGCATTTATCATGGATCTCCGCTCCGCCGACTTCGGTTTCCTTGTCAGCGCAAGGTATGACACCAAAAAAAAAGACAAAGTACACACAGACCCCTTCTGCACCTTACTCAGCGACACAACCCCTTCGCTCAATTTACAATGCTGCCAAAATTTCCCATGCGTTGCAAGAATCTCTCAAAAACTCACTCCCGCTACAGAGTTTAGGTTGAAGGGCACATAGTTTGGAATGAGGCCCCACAAAGGGTCTTAAATAGATTCCACATGAGCACAAGATGCAAGCACCTACCCAGGCTGCACTGTTAGGTACGAGCTATAACGCAAACAGCGCACTACTACAGTGGGTAGCAGCAAAATGAGGGAAAGTTAGCGGGAGAGAAAACTAGAATCAACACCCTGAAACTAATCAGCATTAGAGGGAAAAATTCCTTTTTCCATCCTTCTCTTCTCCCCCTCTGTATGGCAGTATTGTTGTTGTACCAGAGATAAGGCAGCATCCCAGAACACGCGGAGCCCTCTACCGGGAAAAGCGTGCTGGGGAGGAGGGCTGGAGCCTCGCTCAGAGCCAGCACCAGGGAAGCAGGGCAGGCACCAGGAGCAGCGGCAGTGCCTGCCCTCGTTTCCAAGGAAGCTGTTACCGTGCTGGCTTCCTGCACAACGCGCTGCTCACGCCCGGACTCACCTGCCCGCAGAGCTGCTGCGGGGCGGTCCCGCCCGCAGCTCCGCCCGCAGCCCCGCCCGGTGCCGCCCGCAGCTCCGCCCGCAGCCCCGCCCGGTTCCGCCCGGTCCCGCCCGCAGCCCCGCCCGGTGCCGCCCGCAGCCCCGCCCGCAGCCCCGCCCGCAGCCCCGCCCGGTTCCGCCCGGTCCCGCCCGCAGCCCCGCCCGGTGCCGCCGAGCAGCCGCGGTGTCCCCGCGAGCGAGCGGCAGCGCCGCCCCGCGCCCATCCGCGGCTGGAGGATAAGGGCGCCGGGAAACGCTGCTCGTCTCAAAGCCCCAGGGACAACCAACTACGCACTGCTTTGCAGCTGCACGGAAAGTTGGTAGGCACGGGTCTGTCACAGCCTTTATAGGTGTAACGGGTTTGGAGGGAAGGAGGGCGCTTGGACTCCATCTTAGAGGTGTTTTCCAACCCTAAATGATCCTATAAATCTAACCTACAGCCCCCTTCTGTTTGGTTAATCTGCATATTGAAATGCAGGATCTGGAGAAAAATAAGCGAGATAAAACTCTCCTCCTCGCATCCCTGGTAAGCAGCTTGTACCCTGAGCCCACAGGGATGCTGAGAATTTCAGGATGAAGAACACACATTCCTCTTCAGTTTTGATTAAAAACTTTAGCCTAAACACAAAATACTTTTCATAACAGAACCAACACATTTTCTTCATCGAATTTTTAATCTCCACCTCCCCAACCAAGCTTCACTGAAAACCCCTCCAGCCAGTATCAAGCATAATCAAAGGTCACTTAAATTAGATTCCAACAATGGCTGATAATGGAAAACTGCCCATGAAGTAAATTGCTAATTCTCAAGCTTTACCTTAACAGGATCAGTTTTCAAAATAATAACCATCAGGAAAATATCCTAAAATCCTGTCATTTAGAATTCATAAATCAGGAATGAGAAATTGATTTGTATTCTCAGCAGTTTACAGACATTATTTCCAGAAGAGTTGGAAGGCTATGCAGACACTTCCACTCAGAAAATAAGAATTAGGCAATCCTGTTACAGGTGTGGCTAGTGTCCATCCAACCTTCATGATTTTTTTTTTCATTGATGATTTCAATTATTTTGGTCATATCAAGTTTTATGAAAATAGGCTGACAGGAAGAAAGGCAAGCTCCTGATGGGCAGTGCTGCAGCATGAGTTTGTATTTTATAACACAATACAGGGAGAAGACATTATAAATGCTTTCATTACAAGAAAATCCTCCACCAGGAGCCATTTTATTACATATCTAAAAACCTATCCAGCCATCAAGGTTTCTCTCTCACATCTTACAGAGTAAAGCCATTTGTAACTTTCAATGATATAAAGGCACTTCTGTTTCATTTGGAGGGGTTCTGTTTGTTTTGAGAGGCTTTGGGGTTTTTGTTTGTTTGTTTGTTGGTATGGCACATTCACTATAAATAATTTCTAGAAAAATTTGTTCCCAAGTTGACAAAACTGTTTTTCGTGCAGGACCCAAGTAGAGTAGGAGGTCTGTTTCACCACCTCTTCCTATGCTGAGGCACTTCTATACTGCTTGAGTTGATGTATAAACTTTTATCAGTGCTATCAGTAGCCATGGAATCACTAACCAGTGTAAAAATGCTCTGTGTGGAGCTAGTGCATCATTCAGTACACTTCACTAACAAACACACACTCCATCCTCAGGCCTTCTGATGAAATGAACACTGTAAATGTACTTGCATCCATCAGCTGAACAGGGACTACCTTCTTCTGCCTTTCTAGCAGTCACTAAATGCTGAGGCCAAGCCAGCAGAAAGTGTCCCATACCCTCTGTTAAGCCAGTTAAGTGCACTTTTATACTGTCTAAAGCTGGTGTTCAGCCAACTTTCAACAACACACACATACATACATACCTGTAACACAGAGGTCCATAGAGCAGGCACTCAGTATTTAAGATCTGCTTAGAAAAATGTACTATTCATCACTGAACTCTTAATTCCTCACAGGTGATTCTAAATAGAACAAGCTTCTCACTCTCTCCTCTATGTTCAGGGTATCTTATTTTGCACAATTCTTCCCAATGACACCTCTCCAACTTTCTGTCACACAGGGCCTGCAACTTTAGTGAGTCACAGAGAACTAAAGCAGCTCACAATTTCCATAACTATCCTTACTCCAGTGAAGC